TACGATAATGCAAAAACCCAATCAATACTGCAGAAATATGGCATCAAGCAAAGGTTGATCATGCCATATACACCACAGCAAAATGGGTGCAGCGAGAGGGAGAATCGGACACTTGTTGTAGCCGCTCGAGCAATGATGTATGCACATGGAGAGTTGCCAGTTGCATGCTGGGCAGAGCTGATAAATACTGCCGCATATGTGCTTAACAGGACCGGACGTACTCCAGTAGACGGAAAATCACCATATGAACTATGGTTCAACAAAAAGCCACAGATTAAACATTTGCGTATAATTGGAAGCACTTGTTACGCTCATGTACCCAAACAAAAGCGAAACAAAATGGACAAGAAATCGGAGAAATGTTTATTAATCAGCTGCAAAGCAATTGAGTCATCAGCTATTACCAACAATGATACTTTTGAAGAAAAGCCTGGAACTGAAGTAGAAATAAACTTACGTGGAATACCAAATGATGTTGCAAGGGAGGAAGTAACTCAGCCGATTCATGATGTAAGGGAGGAAGAATACGAAATTACTGGTACGTTTCAAGATCGTTTACCCCCTGAATCGTCTGATGATGCGCCTGAGATAGAGGACAGTATAAAAGTTCCATCGCCTTCGCATATCCAAAATGAAGAAGATGACGTAAGTGATCAGACATTACCTGAACGTTTGGAAGAAAATGATGAAGATGAGAATTTGCAAGATAGTGAAATCGAAGATCAAGGAAGAATGACTCTTAGAGATAGATCCTCACTGCCACCACCTGCTAAACTAGGAGAGTACGTTATGACTTCAGTGGGTGATATGTCTGACTTTCGTGAACCAACTGCCTATAGTGAAGTCCTAACGAGTCTAGATAAAGAAGATTGGATAAAAGCAATGAAAAGTGAGATTAAATCCTTAGAAGAGACTAAAACCTGGACTCTCTTCGATCTACCCAAGGGCCGTAAGCCTATTTCATGCAAATGGATCTTTAAATTAAAAACCAATGCTGATGGTACGGTCGATAAATATAAAGCGAGGCTTGTAGCCCGAGGTTTTTCGCAAACACCAGGGGTCGACTATGATGAAATGTTTAACCCAGTGGCAAAAATGACAACCATCGATCTGTTATAAGTGTTGCGGCAAACGAAGGACTAACGCTCACGCAATTCGATATTTCTACTGCCTTTCTCAATGGCTCTCTTAAAGAAGAAATATATATGAAGCAGCCCGAAGGCATGAGTGACGGGACTAAACGAGTCTGTAAATTAAAGCGAAGCCTGTATGGTAACTCAAGTAAGCACCAAGATGCTGGAACAAGTGCATTGTAGACTACTTGAAGAGCATAGGCTTTCAACAAAGTCAAACAGATCCATGTCTGTTCATAAAGAAACGTGCACAGTCCAAAATAATAATAGCGCTTTATGTTGATGACGGATTGGTGGCCACCACGCACCAAAAGGATGCGGATATGTTCATAGCTGATCTCAAAAGAAGGTTTAAGATAACCGCAAAGCCTGCAGAATATTATCTGGGTTTACAACTGCACCAAAATGAAGATGGCTCAATTCGCATAAATCAGAAACACTACATAGAAAAGGTTTTAGAGCGTTTTGGTATGAGCAGCTGTAAAATGGTAACTACGCTCTGCTACCATATTAAAATAAAAGAAATCTACATTATAATAAAACTAATATTCAATTATCAGTCATCTAGTTTTTTTTTTTTTATTCTATATGTCAAGCTTCTTCCTTTTTCATATATGACACAAAACCAAGTAGTAAGTATTTTGACGCGGTTGGGTCAGTACCTACGCCTACTGATCATACATTCAAAAATACATTTTTGTCACTTATCTACGGTACGGGACCGGTATACTTCTATAGTTCCGTTCCACGTATTTTTTTATTTTGATATAAAAATAGGTACTCTTGAAAATACTTTTATCATTCGTTTCTATATTACTTGGTATGACATAACCTCCAAATCTTCAAAGTAGAATATATAAATCCAGACTTCTTCGAATAAAAGATATGAGACGAATCAAATCTAGAATCTAAACTCTATCATTAAATATGCAATTCATATATAGACGCAATAAAAATTTTCAACAAAAATTTGTATGGGAGTTCGCCATTGTCCTTTACTTTAGGTTTATAGAACCTTGCCAGAATCGACACCATTGATGTCAAATTTAATTTTAAGTTAGGAGAATCATGCCAGAATCGATTCCAGATCTACATTCGGTAATCGGTATGGTAAACTCTATGATGGTTTTCCAATTACAGCACTAGAGCGCATTATGCGGCATAATGCATGGTTGCTTTCTAATTACAGACCATAATGCGACTCAGTGCCGCACAATGCCGAATTATGCTGATGCTTAATTGGAACGTGGATTAGTTTTCAAATGCACCAGCAGAGTGCGCTAAGGCAGTGTTGAAAAAGAAAGTCAATGTTTGTACCTTCATCCATATTTATATTTAATTTTTAACACAGTTTGAATTAACTTTGATTATTAAAAAAAAACTATGATGAAACGAAAGTTTTAATAATTTTTCAATAATAAATAATATTACTAACGATAACATATAAATAAAACATTTCGATCAATGCCAACTTAAAGAAAAAACACTTGTTAATTTTCTGTCTCTGAGTTGGTACGATTGCACGCATCACACGAAAGCATTACTTTTGAGAGTGCTCAATTGTGCGAAGAGTTGCTGTAGTTGGAACATTCAAAGTTTTGGGTAGCTTTCCAATTACAGCATTATAGCGCATTATGCGGCATAATGCTTAAGGTTGAGTGTTCCAACTACAGCAACGAAATGTTTTATTTATATGTTATCGTTAGTAATTTTATTTATTGTTGAAAAATTATTAAAGCTTTTGTTTCATTATAATATTTTTTTTAAATAATCAAAGGTAATTCAAACTATGTTAAAAAATAAATATAAGTATGGATGAAGGTACAAACATTGACTTTTTTTTCAACACTGAACTTAGCGCACTCTGCTGGTGCATTTTAAAACTAATTCACGTTCCAATTAAGCATCAGCATAATTCGGCATTGTGCGCCACTGAGTCGCATTAAGCTCTGTAATTGGAAAACAACCTATGTTGCATCCGGGTGGATCTCGACCCTGCTGTTTTTTTTTAATTTATTGGCAATGACCCTGCTGTATAAGCTCCTTGTATTTTTTTTTATTTATTGGCAATGGATACATTGTCCTTATGCCTAGCTTATTACTAAGAACATGCAACTTAATATATTAGTTAATTATTTACATTTTACAATTTTTCTACAGTGTTACTTATAAAATTAAATATAGATATATAAAATAACTGGTTCCCTAAAAGTTTATGCAATTCTGTTGGCAAGTTCCTTGTATTTTTTTTACTTATTGGCAATGGAAACGTTGTCCTTATGCGTTAAGTTCCTTGTATTACTTCCAATGTTGCCATTATGGCGACTTTATCGCTGGATTTATGGGATTTTAAAATTATGTTTAGCGGGAAATATTTTGGTATTAGCGAGAAAAAATAATTAGCGATTTCTAGCGACCTTATAAGTTTCCGCCGTTCATGTACGTGTTTCTAAAAATTAATACTTTGCGTGACAAAAATTTTAGCTCGCTACTCAATCACAGCTAATGGAAAGCGTAACCACGGAGTCGATTACGCCCGTATTTTGGTAATTTTCGTTTTGGTTACCCGACCACCGACGACGGGTACCCGAATTCGAGTAATGTGCCGTGCCCCCGAATACGGGCTACCAAGTGTAATTAAGCAATTAAAAACAGAATATAACTTAGGTTGACATAAAACATTCGTCATTGACCGGACTTTAGCACCTACATAATAGGCTAGTTGACTCATGTCGAATTGTATTAAATAAATGTTTATTTCTTAAAGTATTTGGTCTAAGGAACCTAAATATATCGATTTCACTTCATAAAAGCAGAAGATAGACGTAGAAATTTAATTTAAAAAAAATATTTTTAGTCTATATATTTTAAACACTAAAAACGCTGTTCGCCACATCCGCCATGATTGTGACGTCTCTTTTAGTAAACAACTAAATGTCATTCATACATAACTTTAAAACTTGTATTATTAAAACTGATAATAAATGAAGAGACTTAAAATATTATTCAATGAGTACTTACATCAAAGTGATCTTCGCAAAAATAAATTTTACTATGAGTCGATAAAGTTGCAGGATCACTTTTAGCAAGTTCTAACCAGGTATTGCGTAGGTTAATTTTTTTCGGCACTTTAATCCACAACTTTCCTGGAGTCTTCAAGGTTCTTACATTCTCGTACAATACAATAATGATAATTACTATATTTTTCGTGGAGTCTATTAGAAATCATGTTTATTGACGTGACAACGTCTTAAATTAGGTTGCGGCTGGGAGTCACTTATGAAAAAGTGTAACGCTCGGTAACGTTACGATGAGTTTAAGTTTACATGTACAATGTTTTAGTAAACAAAATATATTTCTATAGTTAAAATTTGTGCAATTCTTATTTTCATTCAATTCCTTGTTCCTATTGTGCAATTTAATTATATTCATATCAATAAATATTCTACCGAGAAAAAGACGTTGTCACGGTCACGTAAAATCTTCGCCCGTAAAACCGACTTTACAGGCAACCATTTTTTTTTATTATTATAAACTCAGATAGGTTATTTTCTACGTGCTTACGAGTTTTTGTTTACTACCGTCAACGACATAGCATAGATAATCTATAGACTAAAATGGCCGACAGCGTTTTTGTATGTCCATGAAGAGTCTTTTTTAAAATTAAAGATTTGTAACTTTCTAGGTCTCAAAAAAATACAATACATTTTTTTTCGGTCTAATAGAACATTTATTAACCATTTAAAACCTTTTTCCAAAAAGGGTCAACTAGCCTATTGTTTGCATAACTGGCGAAATTTTCGAGATTTAGATGGTCTAGAGACTTTAAATTTTGTATAACGGCAACCCTGATCACTTCCTTCACCAAAAAAAACACTTCCTTCACCGCTCTGCTTGTCAGCGGGAATTGTACATTTAGGAATAGTTGTAAATAATAAATTATTGTGGTTTAATACGTAATGTTTATTACGCCTAAGATTAATTTATAAGAATGTTTGAGTGGGCTTATAGTGGGGCAAATAAGGCAGTCCCTAGAAATGTGGGTCCAGAGTGTGCGTATTTTTTATCACATCAGAGGCAAATTATTGAAACGATTTTTGTAATTGCAATCTGCATTATAATAATAGTAAGTACCTTTTTTAAATAATAAGTTATATCACTGTCTATTTGAAAAGTACGCACTAGTAATTTAGATAATTAAATTATAAGGATAATGACTTCTGCTAAAACCTATAATCAAATTATTTCTTTATTGATTAAATTAGTATTATAAGAATAGGTTAGGTTAGGTAGGATAAAGTGATTTATACATCTTTCACTTTTTTTTGATATACTGAACAATAAAAAGATGTATTTATAAATTTGTATCTGGAAGCCAACTTTTTTAATTACTAACCCTCTAAGCTCTGTTATTACTTCTAATAGACAACCAATTCACTTGTCATTATTAAAATATGTTCGTTAATTGTCTTTCCAATTCTTAGATATTTCAAAACTGGTTGCTAGTTCAGATCCAACCTAATAGGGCCAGATTATGAGGTATGGGGCAATAAATGTATGGGGGCCCTATTTTCAAATCTGGAACCCCTGGTCACTTACCATTTGCACCTCTCTCCCTGGTTGCTGACCTGTCAAATTTTGGTTTCTTTTTATCTCTGTTAGGGAGGTCCTTCTCTTGTGGAGTGCCTGCCCTGCCTTAAATGTGACCCTGGTTGTCACAAGTAGAATATTTCTAGTTAAATCATTGTTCTTAGATAAAACACATATTTCACTATTTAATACTCTAATAAAAGTAAAATCTAACAAAAATAGATAATTTAGTATTTTTCTTTCTTAAATGAATACTAGCTGCGTTCACTACTTCATTCTATGTGAATTTCTGTTACTTTTGTGTAGCATAGGCTAGGGCCTTATAAAAAAAATTGGGCTCTAAATCTTAACTATATGTTACTGTGAAAAATCAGTAAATGTGTCAAGTTTACTATGTTTTATAAATTGTGTTCTCAATTCCATTTATTTACTACCAAATCATCATAACATATTTGTTGAATTCTCAGAAATTTTTGATAGCCAAAGTCAAAACATTAAGGTAGTTCTGTTATTAAGTATGATAGTATCCTCTCCATAGTTTTGTTTAATCATTTCATAAGCACCAATGATATTTGGTTTTTAATAACTTACATGTTTATTTCTTTATATTGTGACAACTTATTAATTTTCTAGATAGTAACTAGAGAAAACTAGAGATTTTATTAATTAAAAGAGCATAGTGGACTTTCCACTTGAATTGGAGCACTCAACTTTAACCAGAATACTGCTAAGTTAAATATAACTTACTTTTGGTTGTGCTGTGTTCTGTTTTTGATTATGGGTTCTACTCTACAAGGTACTTGATGGGGTCAGGGTAACTAACTACTGTATGTGAAACTCTGGTATTCCAAGCCATTATAAGCTATGGTGGATACTTATCATTGTGGAGTATTTGCTACCCTTTGAGAATAAAATTGATAGTAGGAGTAGTAGTAAACTGAGTAGGAGAGCACCACCAGACGTTTAATAAAAATCTCATGAGTAATATACCCAAAGCATTTGAGGATTTGTATTTACACAGTTTAGGATGATCTTTCTTGGATGTTGAGTTTCCTCAAGATTGATACAATGGTATGGCTTGTGGTCCACATAATTCTGAGTAGATGTCTGCATCTCCACATTTCTAGTCTCAGCTCCTCCATATAAGAAGGTTGTTTCTTAGGTTTTTACACACACCACTCATTAAATAAAACAAGTTTCAACAGTATACATGCACTGATTTATTTGTTTATCGATATATCACATCCATTTCAGGCTGCATCATCAGAATCAAATTTTATTTACTTTGTCAAGTTACATCCAAAAGACTTTTATTGAGCATTCAAGTACTTCATTCGAAGATTTTTAAAACTATTGTCTATGTATGTATTTATTAGCCAATTTAATTGATAAAGTAATTTATTTAATTCTTTTTTATAATTTTGAGATTATTTATTCGACCCTAACTACCGTAAACTACCACCAGTTCCAAAATTGGGAGACCTTTCTGAGAAGAACTGGCGAAGCAAACTCAGAGAAGCTTTCTGTCTCCTTCTTATGTTAAATCATGCAAACAAGAACTAATACATAGTGTCTGTTGGTTTTGCAGTGTGTGTTGGGAGTTGGGAATTTATCTGTTGTATAATGGGTTCCCAAGCTGGTGGTATATACCAACCAGCATCCCTATTGAAATTCTGATGTTTCTTAATCTCAATAGCTTCGCGTATCATCCTAGGAATTAATCGTTGTTCAGTTGCAAGGATCTGTGGTTTATCAAATCTAAGGTGATGGTTTGGTCCCCCTAATGCATGTTCACACATTGCAGATTTATTTTCGCGCCTATGTTTCATATCTGCAATATGTTCTTTTACCCGAGTCTCTATACTTCTCTTTGTTTGCCTGATGTAGGAGAGCCCTCAGTCACATTCAAGTTTGTAGACACCAGCAACTTGAAAGGGTATATGGCACTTGACAGGTTGTAGATAGTAGTTGATCTTCTTTGGTGGCTTGAGTGGCACTATGGAAACTTTGACTCAGATAAAAACATCTCAAAAAATCTATTACTCCTATGTTAATTAAAATGTCATCATGATTTTTTTGTCTGATAATCTTGAATAATGAATGCTTTTAAATAATGAATAATTTGTGTATAAAAGTTTATTTATAAGGGCGCTTTTATTTTATGCGTTTCTTAACGGCCTGCTACGGTGTCGAAGCAGGCCGTACGCTGTGCGACAAACGCACCGCTTCGGCACCGCAAGAAACGCATAAATTGAAAGCGCCCTAATAGTTACAAAAAACATGAAAACACAAAGTATAAGAATTTTAGACTTACATTTATGTTGTAATAAGTTTATAAAGGTAACTAGTAAAAGTAACTGCTTAAAATTAAAAAAGAAAAATCATGGTAGCTCAAAAGTCACATAAGAGCTCCTTTGCTTCATCAAGAAGTTCTAAATATTTTTTATTATAAGATTTTCTCAAGCTTGTAAAGCAAACCATACACGCTAGGGTTTACCTGTACTGTTTAACTGCACAGGTAAACCGGAGCGTATATAGTCCAGTCAATGAAGGCTTAACTTTGCCATTTTGAGTTGATCACCTGCAACCAACGCGAAAATTTCCGCAAGGGTTCGTAGATTAATATACTAAAATTGCAGGGTGCTGCATTGACGGCAAAGGGTGAAAAAAAAATGCGAAATGGTGCAAAAACGAGTTTTACGTCAATATCTCGCGACTGGCTGGAAAAATAGAAAAAGTTTGTAGCACAAAGTTGTAGAAAATTTAATTTCCTACAAAAAAGGTATCAACTTATTTTCGCGTATCTCCCATAGTTTTTACACAAAATGCAATTAAAAGTGCAAAATAAAAAAAGAAAAAATATTGTTTATGGTTTTTTTCCATTTTTAAACGATCCTACGGGGCAAATTCAACAATCACCAATTACTGAAATATTTAATGATGAGTTTTCGGCAGTCCACTGAAATGAAAATTGTCTACCGAAATGGTAAAAAATTACCACCGAAATGATACAGCCAAGAACATCGCCTTTGTAGTAGAAGGGTTCCCTATTTTGAATTAAAATAAATGTCTTTATTCTTTGTAAATATTTTTGTTCATTATTTTTTAATAAGAATTATTAATGAAGAATTAATTAATTGTTACTCCTATTAAATATTATTACTAATTATAATTATTAATATGTACATTTTCAAAATAACGAACAAAGCGCGTTTAGAAAGCGAGAAGTTTATTATTAGTAAATCGTCCCCTTAAGTGCCAAAACCGATTATCTGCACTTTTCCGCTACTGAACTTTTATAATACCAATCGACCCGTTTCATTAAGCCGCATCTACAGGTAAAACCCATTATGCTCTACGACGCATACTTCCTGAAATAGCTAATGAATAAACAAAATAACTGCAAATTATTTCCAAAATTCTTGATTTAAAACCTAATAAACCCATTCAAAATATTTAAATTTGTAAACGTATTAATTGTTGAAACTAAGTTTCGGATTTAAACTCATTTTTCATGTAGACACTTAAAATATCCTGTGAGTATCCTGTTATTGGCTTTGACTTGACTGTTTGAATTTTACCAGATATTTTAATTTTACTAGATGAAGTAAAAACTAACAAATCTGTCGCTTTTTGCAAAAAAAATATATATAATATGTTTGCGTTATATTTGAGGCAAGTAAAAGAGGATAGATCGAATCGATCGACAGGTGACCTTCTAGCGTACGTGTCATATATCTGGGGTGAGGCTATCGATAAGCGAGGTGAGTCTTTGGCTATCAGCCTTAACATCGCCAAGGCTTTGATAGGGTCTGGCACATAAGTCTTTTCTCCAAGCTTCCTGGATACGGTCTGCCTACTCAGTTCTGTGCCTGAGTGGCTGACTTCCTGCATGAGCGTCAACGGACGGCGACGGATGTAGTTCGCAGTTCATGTCAGTGAATGCCGGTGTTTCTCAGGACTCCGTCCTATCCCCTACACTCTTTTTGCTGCATTCAATGATTTAATTCCTCTTGAGAATATTCATTGCTATGCAGACGATAATACAGTGCATGCGGGATATTTTGGCAGCCGTTGGACAGGTAGAAACCAAAGAGAAACGGGAGAATCTTGTCATTGAACTCAATAAAGATTTGGACTGCATTTCGGAATGCGGTACCAAGAACTTGGTTGAGTTCATTGCCAAGAAAGCCCAGGTCTGCGCTTTCACGGTAAAACTAAAGTTTTTCACGCCTGAGCAACTGTGCTTGTTGTACATGACGTAAGTACTGTGATGCTTTGGATAGGTTACAGCGGCGCGCGATCCGCATTATTGTCGATAAGGAGGTGACTAAACACCTCGAGCCTCGTCAATTACGCCGTGACGTAGCGTTATTAAGCGCGTTTTATCGACTATACCTTGGCGCATGTTTTGAGGAGTTATTGTCTCTTAACCTACCTTCCCCTTTCCTACAGAAGTCTACACGCGCTGGCTTACGTTGCCACCGACTTACTGTGAACTACTATTCCCACTGTTCCAACGTGAACAAAGAAATT